TCGCCGTGCCTAGTTGTGCTCAAGTCTGACGGCTCACTGCGAATCTGCCTGCTACAGTATTTTTCTCTGTGCGTCCGTCTTCAGCGTCTCTGGCCTCTTAACAGGCTTTTACAGACTTATTTTCACATAAATGACATTTTGGAAAATGATTGCATTGCAACGCAGTTTGTGCAAGTCCAGAACAGAGACGAGTTGCTTGCAATAAGACAAAAAACGGCCGGTTGTCGATCGCGTAAGTTCCAGGGGGAAGCTCCTTAAGTTCGGCCATCCTACACACACGTGACTGACCGCTCGCTCGCACCAACAAGAGGAGGAGGGTCGTGTTACTCTATACACTGCACTCAACCTGAGGGATTCCTACACTTTCAGTCTTTGAGGAGACACGAAAAACAGCGCATACCGCAGGAACGGTATAACGGAAAATATTACCGGTTTTGAAATTTTCTAATCGCGGTATACCTTGAAACCAGTAATAGGCCCATGCCTAGTTTAAACAATTGTGTTACTTAATATTTTTTTGGAACCTGTGATAATTTGATTCTTAAAGTTAAAAAGAACAGCATTTATTCAAAATAGAAGTCTTTTCTAACAATATTTTTATTATCACTTTTTAACCATTCAACACATCCTTGCTGAATAAAAGTATTAATTTCTTGAAAGAAAGAAAGAAAGAAAGAAAGAAAGAAAGAAAGAAAGAAAGAAAGAAAGAAAGAAAGAAAGAAAGAAAGAAAGAAAGAAAGAAAGAAAGAAACAGCATTTATTCAAAATAGAAGTCTTTTCTAACAATATTTTTACTATCACTTTTTAACCATTCAACACATCCTTGCTGAATAAAAGTATTAATTTCTTGAAAGAAAGAAAGAAAGAAAGAAAGAAAGGAAAGAAATTTACTGACCCCAAACTTTTGAATAGTAGTGTATATTGGAACACAATTTCCATTTTGAATAAACACTGTTATTTTTTAATTTTTATTTATCAAAGAATCCTGTAAAAAGTATCACAGGTCCCAAATAATATTAAGTAGCACAACTGTTTCCAACATTGATTATAAATCAGCATATTAGAATGATTTGTGAAGGATCGTGTGACACTGAAGATTGGATAATGAAAATTCATCTTTGCTTCACTGGAATAAAGTATATTAAAATAGAAAACTATTTAAAATACAAAACGTTAAATTGCAATTATATTTCACAAAATTACAGTTTTGTTCTGTATTTTTGATCAAATAGATATAGCCTTGTTGAGCATAAGAAACTTCTTTAAAAAGCATTAAAAAAATCGTACTGATCCCAAACTTTTGAATGGTAACATTTTATTTTATTTTAAACAACATATGGATGTTAGCAGGAGGTCAGAATTTGCGCTTTGGGCAACCCAATTTCAAACACCAGACTGTGGTCCTTTCCGATCCAGACCACCCTTTCCAACTTCACTTTAGGACACTATGAGCTAATAAAGACAAAACGCCTGTCTGAACAAAGCCTGGGTGATGTACTATCAACAACTTGCTGCTCTTTCATCATAAGTTCATTATTTAAAGGTTACTGCACCATTAGCAGCATTGAAGGGAATTGGTTGAGTCAATGTTGCTGTGTCAGGCCGTTTGACATGCCCAAACAAATAGAACAGAACCTGCCTCAGTAGAATCAACATACAAAAAACTGCACATTAAGACTGGAAAGGAGAAAGTTTTACTATTCAAAGCCACCTGGCTAAAACCAAAAACCTAACCGCTACACCACAACCACCGTCCCAGAAAGCTGTCTGTCCACATATAGTCTCTAAAGCAACAACTGTAAGCATCAAAGACACGCTCAGGACAGTGTTGCAGTCTTTGCATGACATCTTTTGCTTTTCTGGGGCAGTATTCATGAGGGTAAGGGTGAAAAGAGAAAGATGCTATTTAAGAGAACTAAAACGGGGTTGATAAGTGAAAGCGGTCAAGTTTGGGATGAAATACTGTAAGTGCACAAGAAATCACTAAGGCGGCAAAAGAAAATTGAGTTCTACATAATATCAAATGCTCAAATTTTTACATAGTTTGAACAAAGTTTTTTTTTGTTAATAACTAGAGCATGCAATATTCTTATTTAAGGATGTCTGTGACAGTGCCACGGTTTATACACATACTGAATGATTACAATATTAACATATATTACTAAGATATTTTGAAGAAGTCCATAATGTCCATGTCCTTTTTGTAAGTCCTGACTTAAAGACTTTCCATTCATCATTTTGGCATTATAACAAAGTACAGTGATGATAATTCCTTAGTGTATATTGATTTTTATTTTTTCCACTAAATATGGTCAATAATCCAGACACTTAAATGTAATAAGTGCAGTTCAAAATCACAAGTACATGTAGATCAGGCTCTTTGATTGTTCACATGAAGCGTGTATAAATATGCAGTAGTTGGAATCTCTTCACGTAAACAAACAGCAGCGGGGGAAGTCAAGCTGCACTGTTTCTCAGAAGTCGGTCTTCTGCATTGTAATACAATTGTGGCAAAAAGGTAGATCTATCTCTATGAGCTTCAGATGACTTGTTTCCACTCGCTTGACCTGGTTGTAAGTATGTAAACAGGTGATGACATGGCTCTGAGAGCAACAAGCATCTCAGGTATCTGACTGGTGTGGCAAAGCCATCTAATCCTCAGGCAAGCCAGTCAAACGTCACTCCCAGTGAAAAGGGTCTGACATATTAGCTATGCTGAACAAACCAGTCAAACCAGGCAAACAAAGGCCACAGAATCCCTCCTTGGTTTTAACAACTTACTTTATGAAATAAGCAAAGGGATCTTTTGTTTTTAGAACATGTGCAAACCAAACATTAAAATATTACTAAGATATTTCGAAGAAGTCCATAATGTCCATGTCCTTTTTGTAAGTCCTGACTTAAAGACTTACCATTCATCATTTTGGCATTATAACAAAGTACAGTGATGATAATTCTTTAGTGTATAGATTTTTATTTTTTCCACTAAATATGGTCAATAATCCAGACACTTAAATGTAATAAGTGCAGTTCAAAATCACAAGTACATGTAGATCAGGCTCTTTGATGGTTCACATGAAGCGTGTATAAATATGCAGTAGTTGGAATCTCTTCACGTAAACAAACAGCAGCGGGGGAAGACAAGCTGCACTGTTTCTCAGAAGTCGGTCTTCTGCATTGTAATACAATTGTGGCAAAAAGGTAGATCTATCTCTATGAGCTTCAGATGACTTGTTTCCACTCGCTTGACCTGGTTGCAAGTATGTAAACAGGTGATGACATGGCTCTGAGAGCAACAAGCATCTCAGGTATCTGACTGGTGTGGCAAAGCCATCTAATCCTCAGGCAAGCCAGTCAGACGTCACTCCCAGTGAAAAGGGTCTGACATATTAGCTATGCTGAACAAACCAGTCAAACCAGGCAAACAAAGGCCACAGAATCCCTCCTTGGTTTTAAGAACTTACTTTATGAAATAAGCAAAGGGATCTTTTGTTTTTAGAACATGTGCAAACCAAACACAATATATACAGCTGAATGAAACTGAAAGCAGATGAAAATGCATGCGAGAAAGTTCAAAGTGCAAATGCAGAGTACCTGTAAACAAACACCTACAAATGACAACTGAATTAATTACAGCTGAATGACAGAAACTCCCTGTCTGCAATCACTGAGTTACAATATACAACTGAGATACACGGAGTACAATATTGCATATATGCCTCTAGTCTAGACAAACACCTTTTTAATTTTCAGTTTAAGGTGAGACTAACAAGGAATTATTTGCGAAAGGTAATTGGAGAACATGAATAAAAATAAGTTAATAAATAAGATGATTTGGTGATGTCAAGCGGAAAGGAAGGTCTGTTTAGATGTAGAGCAAGTTATTACATTTTGATGAAATATTATGAAGACACATATGCTCCAATGAATCATTCACAATAAGACCCAGTACATGTATCCATAAAGTAAACGGGGTTGCGTTCATGTTGACTTTAAGGTAATGCACAATGTAGGATGGATTAAAAAAATTAATAATATATATATGTTTTTAAAGCCAATTTACAAACATGCCAACTTTTGTATAATCTTCACTCGGTTTAGGCTCTTTTAAATATTATATTAAGTGTAACTGTGCTAATATAATAAACAATGTCTCCCAGATTTATCTAATAAAAGGGCAAACCATTTCCATAATGTTATTAAATATTTTAATAAAACAAATACGTAAATATTAATGTGTAAATAAATATTTGATTTAATAATGAAGTCTTCTGATAAAGGGGTTTATTAATTAATAAACACTAAACTATATAGCCTATCAAAAAATAATACAAGTCATCAAATTTCTGTTTGTATTGAATATTACAACACAATATGCAAATGTATTTGTTTTTTTATTTATTTGACATGCATGAATAAAGCAACTATATCTTTGTTAATAGTTAAACGTGGAAGTAAAAAAAAATTAAGTGAAACATGTGGAGGAGGAAACCGAGTATGTAAAAGACGAGACCGATCATAATTCAGTATGCGAATACTACAGCCTTTCAATCGCAATTTAGTATGCATGTTATGGTGATATTCCAATGAATACGTGACTGTCGGTATAGTCTGAAAAGGCTAATTATTCATAGAGAGAAATTCCGATTTTATGATATCATTCATGCTTTAAGTAATTCATTCATTCATAAAAATAAACAAACTGCAGATGTGTAACACTTAGGTTTGAGCAAAATATAGCCTATGGTTGCTGATTATCAATATCAATCAATCAGTATAAAGAGGGGAAATATATTCCCCTGCATTATCTCCCAAACATTCTCCAAAATTAACAACATGATCAATCTTTTTTTAACCAGTCAACAACAACATGCAGAGCGTTTTCGCTCAAACAAACACACCTGCTGCAGTGGCGCGCTTACAGCTTTCATTATACAAACACACACAAACTTAATGTCACGAGTGTTTAGTGCTTACATAATTCAATTAATGTCCTTTACCATTTCGTCCTCTTCATTTTCTCCCTCTTCTTGGTGATCCCCATTTCTCGCTTTTATCTCGTCGCTGCATTCATCAGAATCATTTCCCTTCACTTTTTCGTCAAGACCTACAAAATCGGAGGAGTGACATTTAAATTCCTCAAAGTGTAACTGGGATTCATGCGGCTCGCCCTCTGACAGCGTGTCGGAGCCTGATGAATCTTCTCCGCCGCCTCCAAATGCTCCTGACTGCTCACTCTCCATTGCCCTAAAACATCACTTTAATTATCTTAAACTAATGACATGCTGAAGGACACCTTATCTGAGCTCCTGCTAAGCGCCCGAGAGAACTCCCTTCACTGTTCTGCTGTAATTTTAACAAACATCAGTCTTCAAAACATGACAAACATCCATGGAAAGTGAAGTTTGTAGCGCCTAGCGTGTCCTGCTTACGCATTGCTGCAGTGTCTTTAACGAAAGTCTGCGTTCATTGGCCAAACAAACTCCGCCCATCAGCCAATGAGAAAAGAGCGCGCTGGTCAAGGCCTTTTAAATCAATGGAGCACTACTGACCCTTGCGCCATGCAAAGGAAGCAACAAAGAAAGTAGACATAGATATGCAGATAAAGTATGGTAAGAGTGAAATGAAGTGTGTAATCAAGCAACATGTGAAGAATAGATGGCAGAAATATTGGGAAGAAGAAAGAACAGGGAGATGGTTTTATAGCATTCAAAGAATTGTTGGTAAGTACAGAGTAACAGGAAGAAATAGACATGAGGAAACTATAATCTCAAGGCTTAGATTTGGCCATACTGCTCTTAATAACAGTTTGAAGAGAATGGGGAGACATGAAACTGGAACGTGTGAATATTGAAATATGGAGGGAAATGTAGAGCATGTTATAATGAAGTGTCCAAGATATGGAAAGGAAAGAAAGATACTGATTGATGTCCTCAAGGAAAATAAAGAAAAACTTAATTTGATGAACATTTTGGGGAATAAATCAGGGGATAAAAACTTTCAATTTTTAATGCGTTATTTAAAGGACACGGGATTATATAATAGAATTTAGTGAAGAGTACGATCCTGATCAACACTCCTAATCAGTAGGTAGCGGTAATGCACCTAAAAGTTGTATGCCATCCGCTATTAAACACCAAGAAGAAGAAGAAGAAGAAGAAGAAGACCCTTGTGCATAGAAAAATGTTTGTCCAAAGAAGAACACTGACAGGTGTGGAGTTGCCATTAACAGAAGGGATAAAAAAGGGACTCTGTTTCTTTTTATGAAAACAAGACACACTAATTATTTGTATCATTTTACACGTAGGCCTGTGATTTGGCTTTAGTGTGTACAAGTGTTTTTTTTTTCAGGCTACTTGTTATGTTTCCGATTAGAACGGGCTTCCCCTTTAAGACACGCCTTGAAATCCATGAATGACATAATATAAAAACCAAGTAGCATTTATTTTAATGAAAAATCTTAAGCACACTTTTAAAGAAAAACATTTAAAAGCAAGACATTGTTATATTTCAAATGGTGATACTCTGTGAGTTAGTTGACATGTAGTTGCAAATTACTCAGCTGAATTTCTAAAGTGGACCCATCAAAATAAATTGTAATCCAATAATCTCTGAACTGTAAGTGCATCTGTCATGTGTTTTAGGGAAAATCACATCTTTAATGCATGTAGGCTATACAAAACATGAACTTACCCAAAGCATTTCATTCATGCTTCAAAACCCAGTTACTGTGTCAGTAAATTGGCCTGTGTCTCCGAAATTAAATATTTATTTGCAATCGTGTGAGCCCTGCTGATGAAAATGTTTAAATGATTTTTCACCATGTGGAAGTCAGCCCTGGAAATGTTTGTTCATTTCATTTTTAGTTGAGACTCACTGCTTACTGTAATGTACATGTCACCTTTGTGTGTAAAAGTGATTGTGAATCACTTTGAGCTTTTTAGATACAGATTTCAACAGTAGGTCAAATTTACCAGGAAAAGTCAATACACAGAAAAATTATATGCACATTTGCATGTATATAGTAGGCAATTTTTTCTTTTTTTGTTTACATGTGAAGTGATATATATTGAATGGAAAAATTACTCAAAATGATGACAAGCTCCATATACATGCGACCAAAATTATTGGTTGATTGATTAAATGGCAGGTCATATGCCAAAGCACACATCACAAACATTATGTCATAGATATTTATGGACATAAATTTATGGATGTATGTACTGTATGTGTATCTGACAGATTTTTATAACTGAGTGGATGATTTCATGAGCATCAACTCATCCGTTTTATCAGCATACTCTATTTTTTTTAGGGGGGGAAAGAGAATTAATCCAAAATTATTAAGAAAACCTGATTTTTCAGATTTCATGTAACTACATGGTCAAACCATATACAATATTGTTGTATGGTAGAATATCTGCAGATATTAAGCAGACAGTCTATTAATACTCTAATGCCTAGTAGGTGACATGCACTTGCAAAGTTACTTATAGTCAGTCGAATGTCTAAAGTGAACTATCAAATTAAAGTGTTACCATCTAAGTATGTAACTGTTGTACTGTGACAGTTTACATTTAAGGTGAAATAGCTACTTAGTTAGTACATTTACTTCACACTAGATGGCGCTTATCTACAATAGTTTGAAACTGTAAAGGTTTGGGATAAAATAATCTGTAGTCCAACCTTTTGAGAATGATACAAACTCTTTCATTGGGGTTAGGGTTCGTGGTTCAGGCTTTATCAAAAAAATAATAATAATAAAAAGAAGTAACTGAAATATCATATAGGCTAGTTATTCAGACTCTTTGTTTGTTTGTTTTAGCTCAGGTGCATCCCATTTCTCTGAATCATCTTTGAATACGTTTCTTCACTTTGACTGGAGTCCATCTGTGGCAAATTCAATAAACTGAAATGATGTGGAAAAGCACACTCATGTCTATATAAGGCCTCACAGCTGAAAATACATATCAGAGCAATAATTAATTGAATGCCTTTTAGCATATGGCTGCAATACAGCAAAAATTTATGCTAAATATTTTCTGAATGCTGGATATGTGTTAAAATTATTTTTTCCACTGTCATTATCATCTCACTATCCTTTTATCATTCTAAGAAGATGTTGATTCAGTGTCACACAGAGCAAAACAGCCCACACACTCTTATCTAAATCAAGGATCAAGACTGTCGTCTTCCATCCACCAGGTGATAAAAGCAATGAGTGGTGAAAGTATTAATAATCTTAAAAGTGGGGGATTTTAAAACTGTGCTGTACATTACTCTAAATATATGACCAATTTCCTGTGAATGTCCCTTTGACTGCTCTATATATGTTTGTCAAACAGACTAACACAAATGGCTGACTCACATTTTGGTGTTTAACCAAGAAGTCGGAACAAATTTGAAATATGCGAAGGAAACATTTAATTTTTGTCAATCTTGCTCATGCTTGTTTCTCAGAATGAGACATGCTATATGTAAACAAAATGAAAGGATGTTAATTTTATCAAACCCACTGATCATCATGTGGTTGCAGTTGTTCGCACTGTCACAAAAACATGTTCCATGTGCTGTAAGCAACAAGCTAGGTAAAAAAAACCTCTTCTTCCATACGCACAAACAACATTGCAGGTTGGTAGATGCCGATACACAATAAATCTTATTGAAATTGTAAAACAGTGCATATGTGAAGGTTTAGGTTTTGCCTGGATGTCTTTTCTGCGTTGATAAATGAAATGTGTGAGAGACGCTGTTACGGAGGACAAGCTTTTTGTGTTATACTACACTGTGTTTCCTAAGTTGGGCCTCCTCACATTAAAGTCTCTGAAGTGTGAACATGCCTCTTCCTGTGTGTGTGTGTGTGTGTGCATATAGGAGAAAGAGAGAGATATTTAACATCTCACAGCTCACACCACAGGTTTTCTAGTACAGTATGTCTAGTAACTATAGAACTGCCAAATACATTACTTAGATACAATTGTTTATGCTGATTTTGTGCTGTTTTATGCACTGGACTTGTTTGTGTAAAAATATGGTATTCTCATATTTATAAGCATGAAATATGTCTTTAATCACTTTGTATGTGCAGTTTATTAGTAACTTCAACACAATTTCAGAGAGAATTCATTTTTTTTATACATTAGAGTGTGTAGAACATGCATCTGGCTGAGAATGTGTTTCCTTGAAAGCTCAACAGAAGCAAATAATCAAGCTGTCATAACATTTAGTCTTTGGTTTTCTGAGATCTGTCATGTGAAACGTTTACTCATTTCTCAAAAGTTTCAAGGGCCTTAGAGTAATCTAAAAAAAAGTGTTTGTTCCCACCACACATTTTGTACTTGTTATGCTGCACTTCAACTGTGAATGTAGTAAACAAAAACTGAATTTTGCCATGAGATAAAAAAAAATCAAATATCAAAATCATATTCATAAATATAGTTGATGTCATACTGCTTATAGTACCAAATATATATAAAAAGATGTCGGTCCAATTTAACAGTTATATAATAACAACTACTTATTGGGTATTTGGTGGTAACAACTTACTTGAGAATTATAAAGGATTTACAGAAAAGAAAAGAAAAAATCAGTTAAAATTATTGTTCTTGTCTGGCCAAAAGAAGAAAAAAAAGGATTTGTAAACATCTTGAGCTCCCCTGAAAAGAAATTAAAGACCAGTCTGAACATCTTACTCGTTGCAATGGCAATTTAAATCAATATCTTGCTATTTTATTTTGAAGAGTTGACATACCTGCAGTTCAGTGAGAAAATTAAAGGGAAAGTTCTGAAGCCATAAGTGATTTCAAGTGTCAACAGACTTGCCTCTACAAAGTTCAACAATACATGCTAGTTCTATTCTGAGTTTGCAGAAGTGAAACTGTTTTTCTGCACAAGCCTTTTCAGTTCTATTGCAATTTGATACTAAAGAGGATTAATTAACATCCAGCTACTGTATGGCTATGATGGCATAGCTTGCCGTGTATATAGCTTATAATATAAGCACTATACTAATTTGACTGCATGAACAGTTGGTCAGTCTAGAAAAACTTGAAGTACTTGGGTACAGTTTTCCTAAAAATTCTGTCATAAATTAATCATGTCGTTCCCAATGTGAAACACAAAAGACAATATTTTAAAGAATGCTTTAAATGTTTTGTCCATCTCCTCAGGTGACTTTCATTGTAAATAAATAAATAAATTAGACAATCAAAAGATATATATATATATATATATATCTTTTGACTGTCTATTTATTTATTTACAACGAAAGTCACTGAGGAAATGGGAAAAACATTTAAAGCATTCTTTAAAATATTGTCTTTTGTGTTAATTAATCTTCTTAAATGTGACAAAAAAAGCGTAACAAAATCTATTCAGGCTTTGAGACATAACTAAAGGCACATTTTCAGGAGCACAGAAGTGTCTGAATGCTGTGAA